GCCACCTTTTTCGTAAACATGCACATACAACATCTGGTCACATGCGCACTTAGTACATACCAAATCAGTTTGGCAGAGTCTTAGTATACTCGCTTCTTACTCTTAGCTCGTGTGATTACAAAATATATCATTATTCAGTTGTCAAGTTATCGATATATGTGTTTCAATTTCTAAAGGTTTTACCAGTTGAATATGACGATGACCTAATTTATGATGTGTATCACAAAGCCGATATATATAAACGGCTTGACAACCCAATACAGGCCATGCAGATGGTGCTGTCAATATCAACATTCTTAAATAAGGTAAAATTAAATATAAGTGGGAACCTATCAAACAACTGCTGACAATGTGTATGGGAATACAATTAGTTCGTATTTGCTCTACGGCAATTCGTATAAATCATTACTAAAAACTAGGGATCAACTCTTTCCAAACAGAGATAAAACATAAAGCAATGGCATTATATCAATACGGAGCCAGATTTTAACTTTTGAGATAACAAATTAGCTATTATATGACCCATTCTTATTATCGAAATAAAGCAAAACTGATTCGTAATTAACTTGCGAACTCCTATTTATTCTTTAATAAATTGACCCATCTGGGAAACACACCAGGGAAATGTGACCGTAAATAAAGCTTGTTTAGTGATTAATATTATCCACATTATTGTTATTATTGACCATATATACTTATATCACTACCCGTTTAATTGCTGTTTCCTTGGCAACCAGATTCACATCTCTACTACCATTTAATTGATTGTTCCTTATCAAGGGCGACTTCTTTTGAACATTTTAAGTGAATCCATCTGTAGGTTTCTAAATTATAAATGAAAAATATTTCAGAAAATGCTGTTTCCATGGTAACCATACCACATATTTGTACAAAACCTTTGGAGTTATCTCCTAAAACCTACCGAAGCTATAATAAACATAACCTTCTTGGCGGGGACAATAAATATATTCTTCACTTGATTTTAATTAACGCACAGTGTTCATATGTTAATACAATATTACCACAAGTCATAAATGAGCAAATCGAAACATACCATGCATACTTACACTCTTAATGTACTTTCAGTGGAGCAATACCAGCACAAATCAAACTTCATTTACAAGAATGAAAAAGGTAATATTGCTGTAGGTGTGGAATTTGGTCGAATGTTTCATGTGGTGATCCAAATCCAGTTCGTCTTGATGGAATTTATTCCACGCAAATAGTGATATACTAATTCTGAAAAAGATATTAATTAATTTTACAGTTACGAAGTGACATATGTAAATTGATGGATTTTACTACAAGGATACTAAATACCCCCGAGGCTGTGTTGCAGACTGCATCTACGTTAAAAATAGCAACAGCTGTGCCTTCTCAAGTGGAGAGACAGACACTGGTATGAGTACATCCAATACAAACGCGTGCGTCTTTTGCGAATTGCATTACGGGAGTCATAGTTAAAAATATGTCTAAAATATTTGAGTGCAATTTTTATCGTACTATATTAGACAGACTCGTTCAGCTACTAAGTAAACAAAAAAAAACAAACAAAAAAAAACGACTTAGGGTAGTCTTAAATAAAAGTCCATTAATTAGGTTAAGGGGCTGTAAATGGACAGAAAAATAAATAGGCATGACATAAACTTCGACCACTATTTCAACTGACACATTATAAAACAGAATGCTGCATAAAAATAGAATTGCCAGAAAAATTACTGTTTATATGAACAAATAGTTCTTATTTCAGATTGTCGTTTGAACGAGGGTAGTAAGAATTGTATTCTCAACATTACTAGTATGTTTTGGAGTTAAATTTATTGGTCTATCGATATTCCATACAATGTGATGGGTTGATGCTTTCCAGTGATGGGAAAAAATAGACAACATAAGTTTGAATAGAGGTGACAAATTTAACATCAAACAGCCTTTGAAAACTATATTTCTATAATTTTATTCGGTGAAAATACATGATACATACATATGCTCTCAGACGTGACACTTCTGTAATGGCTGAAGTGGCGGTGCCTTGCATTATCTCTTGCCACTCTGTGCACCATATCGTGCATTGTGTGTGGTTTGTACTGTAGAACACAAAACGTGTCAACTCGAGAGTTCAAAAGTCGCGTGGTCAACAGGCATGCTCTATTCTGCTGAAAATTTTCTATTTTGCTGAAAATTGATTAGAAACGACATAGTGCATGTTTTGCATTAAAATCATCATTCAAATATTCATTCTAATTTGTCAATGCTAATATGAGCTAAATCTGTGTGCTATAGTAGAATCATACAGGTTAATTTAATGAATGAAGTAATTGGTATTGCGTTCATCTACGTTTGTTATCATATTATAATCACCAAAATAATTTTCAAATCTATTTCTATACTACAACAACGTGACGGGCCAATATTTTGTTTGGATTACGTATCAACTAATTCGTGATTTGGTTCTCATCGTCAGCGAATTCGAGCAAGTTATAACTTGATGTCTCAAAAACCACGCGAACCAGAAACCTTGTAACATTACGTGTTTTTATTCTGTAGGACGTCTCAGTGAGAGCAATGAGTCGAGGAGCCATGGCAATGTCTGATATGAGTAAAAATACGAATCTTCCTCAAGAGAAAGTTCTCAAAACAGCTGAAGGTGCGTTAGAGATTGCTGAGATAGCTGTGGTAATAAATGTAATAATCAAAAGACCAGGAAAGATTGGCTCAGTGAAGCGATGGAGACTGACGCATTATACAAATTACTTTAATAAGAAGTTGCTAGGCCTTTGTCGTTTTTTCATAAGATTTTAGGTCACGGCTCACTTTCAATTAACTCAAAAACGCCCACATTGATGATATTGGTGTTAATTTGAGACATATATAACAAGGCCGCTTTTAAATTAGTTCAAGTATAAGTTGTATTCCGAAACTACCAACACTCATGATGCCACAATAGCCAAATTAATCCTATAATTCTAAATAAAACGGAACATTAAATTCTTTAAATAAACAGAAGAACTTAGATCAGATAGATACTTGTTTAAATCAGACACACGTAAAACTGGTATAGAAATACACATTGTACAAAGTAATAAACAACAACAGGTGTTCAATCGATAAAAAACTCTTATATTACATCCGTTCGAAATGGTCTAATCAAGAGGGGTAAAATCATTGAAGTCGCTGAAAACATCATATGATTCAATGAGTAAAGTACTTGTATTCATATGCTACACCTCAGATAATGGTTTAGTGGATTGGTGTGTATATATGTGCCTCATTCAATCATTTGCTTTGCAGATTTTTTCTTTTCATCTGCCTTTCTACTTGAAGCTGGCAACTCAACAGTTGAAATGGCAACAGTTGAAATAAACTCTTCTGATGTGGGGAGAAATGAATCTAGCAATACAACTCAGTTGTCTACTGAAGCACCCGTGAAACATGTCGAAGACAGACAACATGTAAATATAAACATATTCATAGATTCATAGTTCACTGCGAGTGCAAGCTTATGTATGTTAGTGTGCATGTGTCTTCGTCTAGTCAAAATGACGTAGATAGATGCAAGAAAAATTGTTTAAATATATAATCAGTAGTGTATTAAGTGTTCATTCGTCTATTACAATAGTACAAACCTTTAAAATATGTTAGTGGCGGATTTGCTATCAAAACTGTGATTGGAAAAAATTACGCCAGGGGAGCCCGTAGCTGCTAGACTAAAATACAATCTGTATTATACAAGAATTGTCTTACACAGATGCGAGACACAACAAACAGTATAGTCAGTTCAGTTAGCAGTTTATCAGACAGCGTACTTCGTCGTATGCAGCCAGGGGAATCTGCAGTGAATTTTTCATCCAATGGCCTAGCTATACAGTTGGAACGAACCACCTCCGAAAACATGGCTAACAAGACTCCGGAATTGCCAAGTGGGACGTTTGCTCTTCCATCACCTGAAATTATGTTCGGAGAACAGAACTACTCATCAGTAGATGTAAAGGTATACACGTAGCTGCAACGTTTATTTACGTTTTGATTGTCAATTGTATTTATACTCATGTATTATGTTATACTTGAAACTTTCTTTTGATTATTAATTTATACTGCCATCCAAACCTGCATTAGAAGTAAAGCTTATTGACAGGATCATTATTGACAGTATCATCATTATGATGTGTAAACATTTCATAGTTGAAAATACGAAACCAGTATACATATTTCTTTTATATTGTAGCTAGTACAATACGACCGCAATCCTTTTATTTGGGATACAACAGCCGAACAAGTGAGTAGTCCAATTATCTCTTTAGAAATCATGGATGATAATGGCACACTTATTGAACAGAAGAATACAGCAGAAGACTTCATTATCACAATGGATTACATAGAAGATGAACCAGAACTGTTGACTAATATCTCTGAAAACGAAATCTCAAATGCTCCTCCGAAATACACTGTTTTCAACGTGACGTTCCCTCGTACAGCAGTTCAAATAATAATAACACCAAACAACACAAACGCGACATATATAGTGTATTTGAAACACGACTTATATCCAACTGATGAGGATTTTGACTTTAGATTTGTTGTTCCAATCGATTTCCTGTACTCAAGTAGAATGGATTTGGATTTAGGCTTTGGTATTGGTATGGCAAATGTATCCAGCATACAACAAAACAATATTCCTATTGCTGGTAATCCATACGCAGTAAGCCTTGCACCGCCAGTACTTGGAGACGTTGAAATAACAACACCTGCACCAGAAGAGGAACCACAGAAGGGCCCCAGGCAAGGATATTCAGATGTATCTATGAGACTCTCTGATATATCCTCATGGAGTGATTTTTCAGCTAATGCTACCCGCAGTTACAACATATTTATACCAGATAAGAATATAAGAAAATCCGGATCGTATGGAGTGAAAATCAAGGAATTTTTAGGATGGAGTAAGAGTCATGCCATTTTATTATTTGTTTGATTTACCTCAAAGCATGTATTTCAGTTGAAGCATGTAGTGAACAAAAAAGACAGAAGTAATATAATAAGATGCCCTCTCAGATACACAATAACTCTCAATATTATTGCTTGTTATTTATTTCAACATTAAATGAAATAATCAGTTGTTACCGGTAATGTATTTACTTTCCTAGATTACTCCGAACCTACAATTGGTGAGACTGTGACTCCTTATACTATCAGAATTCATACAGCCAACTGTAGATATTGGGACACAAATAAGGATCGTTGGTCTAATGAAGGCTGCACTGTAAGTCGCTGAGTAATTATTCTGGATTAGATGCCAGCACAGCAAAATTTAATCACCGTTGTTAGATTTGTAGTGTGAATTAGGATACATTTTCATATCATATGTGTGAGTGTACGTGCGCCTGACGGCTTTTCTTGATTTCTATAGTTTGCAGGAGAAACATACAGATACACTGGTATCGACTAGCAATGTTCAGATGTCACTAATATGCTTGATCACGTTCGTTGTTACCAGTCAACGTTAAAAAACGATCAAT